ATTAGAGCAGTTAGCAGTTACTATTTACCACCACAACAACTGCCACTACTACTACTACCGCTACTACTACTTTTTAATACTACTACCGCTGCTGCTAATACTACTACTACTGCTACTACTACTACTACTACTCTTACTACTACTACTACTACTACTACTACTACTACTACTACTACTACTACTACTACTACTACTACTACTACTACTACCATTTCTTTTATCACTACTACTACTAAACAATAACAATAAACAATAAACAACTTCGGATAACAATAACAACAGCAACAAATAATAATAAACTACTGACAACACCAAAAATATATAATAACACATAAATAAAAACAACAACAACAAATATCAACAATAAACAGTAACAACAAAATGTGACAATAAAAAACAACAAATAATAATGTGACAATAAAAAACAACAAATAATAACAAGTGACAACAACAAACAACAACAACTTCAGCATATAATAGTATTAAAATTAATAATAATAAAAATAATAACAATAATATTAACAACAACAACAACAAATGATAATAATAATAATGACAATAACAACAACAGTCAACAGATAAATCAGATGATGTGAGATAGCGTCTTTCTCGTCACAAAGAAGTTGAACAACACCTCCACGTACAACAGTTCTCATAAACAACTACATCTTCCCTAATGACAAAACAACTACAGCAACAGTAACACCATCAACAAACAACTACATCTTCCCAAATAACACAATAACCAAAGCAACAATAACATCATCAACCACAACAACAACACCAACAACATCATCATCAACAACAACAATATCATCAACAACGACAACAAAAACAACAACGTTTTATTAACACACAACCACAGACGCAATATTCTACAACAGCAAAACTTATCCACAATTCCTAACTCTTGCTCCAACATTACAACAACAACAATAGCCATTTCTGCGCTGCTTAATCATGTGATGTAATACTTATACTAATACTACCCAACAGCTGCCACTATATTTTATTATGTTAACCTGACAAGAATTAAAGTTTGTTATAACAACACAAAAATATCTATAACAGTAGCAACAACAACTACTACAACATTTTATTTTAACAAGACAACAATTATATAATGCTGCAGTAACGCTGAGACAACTACTGTATCGAAATTTAACAGCACAACAGCTATACCATGTTGCAACAACAACAACAACACATGTTGCAACAACAACAATAACAACAACAACATCAACAACAACAACAACAACAACGTCCTATTATGATAACACAACAACGACTATGTTATGTCATTTTAACACCGAACATAAAAACAAAAACAGCAACATCTCCATAAAACAATAGAATAAAATAAGTAAATGTAGGTTATTGAAGCAATTGCACATTGCCAAGAAAGACTCCAACAAAAAATTGTCAATCAATAAACACACACAACACACACAAACAAACAAACACACAAACACAAAAGAGAGAAAGAGAGAGAGAGAGAGAGAGAAAGGGCAGATATGAAAAAAAGCAGCGAAGTAATATAGAAATAAACAATAGCATCGTCGTGTTGTGCGCTCGATGAAGAATGCAGTAATTAGAGAGTAAAACAATTCCAATGGACAGCCACTGACCACTACATCAAATCGCATTGGCGACAACACTAAAACACGACGACATCCGTACCCTATCTTACGCGAAATGGTTATCAACTACCAAACAATAGAAATTTTTTGCGGCCAAATATAAAAATACAGGATTAAACAGCATAGGAACAGAAAACTTTGTTGCCCACTGGTGTTCAGCTTGGTTGTTATGTGCTCTGCATTATAAACGTAAGGGAACAAAATGTTGATGGTTTTGTTGGAGACGGTGTTGTTGGGATAATTTGATGTTGTTGCAATTGTTGTTGTCGTCTTTGATTAATGGTGCAACGTGACAAACATATTGTCGATCAAGTTTGTTGTTAGCTAAGTTTATCTTGCTGGTGATGATTCGAACCTTAGATTTGTTCTGTTGGAGTTAATATTTTATTTAATTCCTGAAGTGTGTTTCGGAAAATCAAAAAAATCATTTTCGCACTAAATAGAAAATATAACAATGATTTCAAGCTGCAAATAAAAATGAGTTGTTGGCACAAAGCTCACCGATCATCATCATTATGCTAATTGGTAATATCAATTTTGTGATTATATTTTTAACTGGAACTGTTGAGGATTTTAATTGCAACGAACATTGGGATCATGGAATCGTTTTTGTTGATAATTTTAATGTTAAGCACTTTGCATAAATCTATGTTTTTACGATAAGTACGATGACGATGACGTTCTGGATGATTTTGTGACATAGCATGACGAAGATTAGGATCAGTAGCCATAATGTTAAAGCAGCAAGGTATGAACAACTGATGCAAGAGTTAAACAAGAAAGAATACAAAACCAGGTTCTACGCTGTTGGTGCTGGTGCAAGAGGAGCAGTGGGAGCGTCGATGTATAACACTTTTCAAAGAGTTGGGACTGTCAGGCAGAAAACTTACGTCATGCCTGAAAAAAGTTATTAAAAGCGCAGAGCAAACATCGTATTGGTTGTGGCTGAATAGGAATAAAAAGGAGTAATACTAACTGTGTCTTACAAAAATAACATGCTGCTGAATATTTTTTGGGGGTTCCACAAACAATTAGCCCCAGCAAAATTACAGATATCAACTATATAAATAGGGTTCTCTATTTATTTTTTTATCCGGGTTTTCCACCTTTGCAAATCCGCGAATCTGTGCTCGATGATGTTGTAATGTTGTGTGGTAGATGGTTATAATGTTTTCATGGATGTTGTTGATGCAACTGATGTTGTTAATGTTGTTTTTTATTCAAATAATGTTGTTAATGTTGTTGTTGATGTTGTTTATATTGTTGTTGATGCAATTGAGGTTGTTGATAATGTCGATGTTGTTGTTTTTCATTATGTTGTCGTGTCGTTTTCATTATTGTGTAGTAAATGATGCTGTAGTTATTGTTGTTGTGGTTGTTGAGATGGCTTGTCCTGACTTGTTAACCTCATTAATAGAACGTTCATGATTGATGACGTTGCTGACAACAACAGAAATGCTTGCCACATCGAATTTGGATGTTTCATTTCAACTGAACAATAAAGAAATTAAAACAATAACAACAACAACAAAGACAACTAAACAACCAAACAACAACAGCAGCAGCAACAACAACAGCGAAATTAATGCAACTGGCATCAACTTGTGATATGACACCATGACGATATAATGACAATGTTAGCTGCAATATAAACAAACCAGTGCAAACAGTATAAATGTAAACAACGAGAAGAACAACAACAACAAACACAACAGTATAAACACAATAAACAACACCAGTTTACAAACATGAATGAACATCAATCACAAAGATATAAAAACATAAACGTATAAACATCACAACAACAACAACAACAACAACAACAACTACAACAACAACAGCAACAACAACATCAACAACAACAACATCAACAACAACAACAAAAGAATTAACAACAAAACACAGAATGAACGAGACATTCATTCATTCATTCGTTCGTTCGTTTGTTCGTTCGTTCGTTCATTCGTTCATTCGTTCATTCGTTCATTCCTTCATTCATTCATTCATTCATTCATTCATT